CTTGAGCATCGATAGTGTGTCCCAGAAAGTCTAACGAGTCGGTTCCAAATTGGCATTTCTGAACGTTTACAGTTATGCCATGTTTTTGTAATCGTTCGAAAACAAGGTCCAGATGCTTGAGATGTGTTTCTCTGTCCGGACTTGCGATTAGACAGTCGTCAACATACGCGTGTACGAAGTTGAGACCTCGAAAAACGTCGTCTATGAATCTTTGGAATGTTTGAGCAGCATTCCTTAGACCGAAAGGCATTCGCAAAAATTCATAGAGTCCGAAGGGAGTTATGATAGCTGTTTTCGGTATGTCGTCAGTAGCCATAGGGATTTGGTTATACGCTTTAACCAAGTCGATTTTCGAAAAGACAGTTGTACCTTTCAAGGTAGCTGTCAAATCGTGAATGTGAGGCAACGGGTAACGATCGGGAATGGTTTTCGCGTTCAATCGCCGATAGTCACCAGTTGGACGCCAATCGTTGCTGTCCTTTTTAGGGACCATGTGCAACGGAGATGCATATGGGCTACTTGACGGTCGTATGATTCCTAAGTCCATCATGTGATCGAATTCGTTTTTCGCTAACCTTAGCTTTTCAGGAGCTAGTCGTCGTGCTTTAGAGAATACAGGTGGTCCTGTAGTCGTGATGTGATGTGTAACATTGCTGGTTACACACGGTAGTTTCGGTTGAGTTTGTTGTATCCCAGGGTACTTATCGAGTAGTGGTTGATAGAGTGGGTCTATCATATGTTTAACTGTGACTGGGGATACTCTACAACCAGTAAAAGAAGTTACGCAAACGGACAAATTAGTGTTTCCGTCTACTAGCCTCCGTTTGCGAGTGTCGATGATCAGATTGTGGTGTTGTAGAAGGTCCATACCAATGATTGGCATAGAAACATCTGCAACGACGAAAATCCAGTGGATGGGTTTGCGTAAACCCACGTTAAGGTAAACGTACCTTTTGCCATACGTAGCGATCGGTTTTCCGTTTGCCGCCTGTAAGTTTAGGGTCGATTCGTGAAGTCGGTCGTTAGGATTTGCTGGGAGAACGCTAACTTCTGCGCCAGTGTCGACGAGGTAGCGAACTCTCGTTGTCACATCTGTGACGAATAACAGACGGCTTTGTTCGCCGGCTACGGTTGCCGTTAACGCGTGCCGGCTTGGAAGTTTCCCGATCGAATCAGTCGGTTTCGTGTTGGGAAAATTGCAGGGTTTTCTGCAATTTCTGGAAAACTTTCCATACTGGTTATGATACCAGCACCAGTCGGGGTTATCTGTCTCTCGTGGTCTAGAGACAGATCGCTTACGAGAAATGCTTCTACGTGGTGTGCGCGATCTCTTACGGTCGGTACGAAGACTAAGATAACGCGTGAGTGTGTGACATAAGTCGGTTATGTCATTCTGAGTCGTGTGAGGCTTTTCTTTGACTGAAAATACCTCGGTAGTAGAAGGTTTCGTAATTTCTAGAATGCGGTCGGCAGATACAGCTAGTTCGTCTAAGGCGTTGTTCTGGAACGAGACCAGAACTGCTTGCACCTGTTGGGGAAGTTTTGACAAGAAGAGTTGTTTGAATAGACCTTCGTCGAAAGTTCTTGGGCCTATAACCTCTCTCATCCGTTGCAACATGTCCGTCGCAGAACCGTGTTGCAGGTCGATGTTATTGAAGAGTTGATCTAACCTTTGTCGATCGGTTAGGTCTCCTCGTTTAAGAATCGAGCGTTTTAAGATTTCGTAAGGATCGGAAACATCACTAGTAAACATACTAGGTGTTACGTACCTGTTGAATTCCCGCGGCAGTGCCTTGACTACTGCGAGGAATTGTGCACGTGTGTCGATCACGCCGTGCTCGGAAAAGTCGGCTTCTGCGTAGCAAAACCAGGCTTCGATGTTGTCGGGCCAGAAAGGCATCAGTTGAAACGAAGGTGGGGACAAGGTCTTAAGCTTGAGTACTTTAGGTGTCTGTTCAGTCATGATGAAATATGAAGTACGATAATGAACGAGGGGAAATATATATATATATCCAAGAAAAACACGAAAAAAAATCACAATGTTTAAAAAAAATAAAAAATAAGGCAATGATATATAAAAATCCCAAAAAGGAACAGACTCACAGTTGCAATAAGGTGTACCAGATCACGACGGTCTCACCAATGATGATGTCACAGGTATTCAGTGTTTGACAACGCTTCTACCAGTAACACCTTCTAATATATTTCGTTCCCACCAAGAGAAATCAAAAGACAGAGTCGAGGAGATCGGAAGAGTATATTTGGCGATGACCAATATATCGGGATTCTCTGATCTAATCTGGCTAGCGATTGTGGTTGATGTTGAGCACGGCGTTACTACACGTGATCTGGTGCGGATGCCTGACCGAGCGCCTTCAGCTAGATGAGTCCACTAAAACATATGGTCAGCATCCAATGTCGAAAACTTACAGAGCTATTTATTTTGGGGATTTATTTACCGCTACAAACTGGTTATTTTTTATTTCCGTCATCACTGAGGAAGGTTGTTGCAGATGGTTAGTTTGGAAAGCGTGATGATTTGGAGTATTTGAATTGTTGTACAAACTAGAAATAACAGCAATGGCGAAATTTAGACCAAGAAGAATTGGGTGACTAGAAACTAACGTATTGTACTTGGAATATGAAGTCAAGCAGGCATCTAGTTTTAAGGAAACATTAGTTCACACAAACAACACATAAAGATAATTTCATGACAATGATTATGTATAGAATGGCCTTCATAAATATTATTGACTGTGAAATCTTCATTAAAACTCTATAGAGCTTCTATAGAATTCATTAACGTGCCAAATAATGTTCACTTCCTTTTTATATGATACATATGTATATATTTAAACAAAAACTGCACGCACTTTACCGAAGAAATTATTGTCTTCAAAATCTTATTCCTCTATACCTTTAAATTCACAATCTGGAGTACCTATCTAGGTATCTGACTGTCTATATAGAGTATTTCTTTAGAAAACTAAAAAAAGAATAATGTGAGTACTCAAACTCGGAGTGTGTTGAATTAAAATTAAAGCGCATAAAAAATTATGGGTTACTTGTTGCTACAAACCTTTCACATTTCAAGTCGCTTTAAAAATGTTCGTAGTATTTAGCTATAAGATACGCTCCAGATACACTCTACTGCAGTTTGAAAATCTCTGAATCAGTCTCAGCTTGGGAGGGACAGTAAACTAGGTGGCCTGTCTTCGTCCTGGCAGTGGTGATCGCTCAGTTGATTCAACTTCCTTTTGAAAGCGTAGACAGATCGAGCTTCAATCACGTGTTGAGTTAATGCATACCATTCGTTGATGATTCGATGGGGAAGTCGATAGTCAGCTGACAAGTGATCTGTTCTGGGATTGTGAACGCTTTAGAGTGTCGTCGTAAGTTTTCTGTTCCGAAAGACAGGAAGAGTGAGGGCATATCAGGTGCAAATTTACCACTAAGTAATCTAAAATCTGTGGTCGAGTCACCTCTTGTTCTTTTATATGACAATGGAGATAGGTTTAGTTTGGCCAGTCGGGCATCATACAGGAGCTTTGCCATCCCGAGAATCAGCTTAGTTGCGGTTCTCCGAACCCTTTCCGACAACTCACTGCCTCTTTTTGGCAGGAGCTAGCCACTTGTATGCAATACTCGAGTTTAGGACGAACGAGTACTGTATATGAAATCAAAAGTGTTTTAGCATCGACATGGCTAAAGGCCTTACATATTGACCATAGGGTTCTAAAACCTCTGTCGGCTATCCCATAGCAGTGTGCGGTAGTTTCGAAGTCTTTGAAGCTTCCCGATACTAAGGTTTCGTCTCGTCGGTACCCAATAACCTAAATCTCTCACACATTTTTCGCCTCTTACGGAGAAGGGTGCTAACCTCGTAGCTGAATCACGGTGGAGAGTTTGTCAGACCCCTTGGTGTAGCCGTCCCAACGATGGACTCTGGTTCTATTGACCAATCTACTAAGGAAGCTGAATGTGTAATATCTTGCATATTTGCTTTCTAGACGTTTGGTCTTGCTTGGGCTGACACATTCTCATTGCCGACAACCATATGGAAATCAAAGACTAGAACCGTATGGTCACTTTTGCCTAGAGGTGGTGTATAATGGAGGATTGCGACATTATCTTCATAGTGGGCCCTTACGAGATCTAGTAAGGATGATTCGGAGTCCGGGTGGCACCTAGTTACCACTCTCACATGTTGCACTAGGGTACATTCGATAACCGCATCAACTAGTTACTGTTCGATAGAATTTTCAAAAAATTGAGTCCTCTGATTTTTCCAGCCTAGCGTAGGTGCATTTACATCTCCTAAGAGTAAACTTCGACTACTTGATGACCAGGTGTCGAGACCATCTAGCGAGACTCGATTCACCTCGCAGTTTGGACTGCGGTAGACCAAACAAATCAGCAGCTCTTTTTGCGTATTTCAAGCGGCGACCAATCAATTCTGACGTTCCGCTTTTGTTGGATATGTTATCAATGACGATAAATGTAATGGCATTTCTAATGAATAGAACAACTTCTTCTCCTTTACGCTTCTGTATTCTTACGGTTCTTACTAACGTGAAGCGTCCAGAATCAAGTGCCCTACTGTCCACAGACTGCGTCAATCGAGTTTTTGTGGCTGGATTGTGTGTCTGTCTTGTATTCTATTTCTATAATTTACTGCAAAATTCTTATCCATCTTTAGTGTTTTCTATAAAACGTTTATAATAACTTAAGTGTCTTGCGATGTACGGGAAGTGAATTTGGTTTCGTTAGCTGATGATTTCACACTAAGCGAAAAGCTTTGTTTTTTATCGTTTTTGCCTGTATCTTTCACAATTTTTAATTAGTTTTATTCATTATTTACACATATCCCTGACATTTTTCACACCCCATTGAGTCATGAAACGTGAGAAAAACGGCTTATTTTGCAGTGGTGACCGAGGAAAATAGATATATATTTTATATCAAGTTTTCGGGGCATTAATTGGAACACTAAATTTGCCGGCTATTTGAAATTTTTCTACTGCTCACGTTACTTATATTCCAAATGTCTGGATTTGACCCAGTTTCTGACTTTCTTGCTCGTGAACAGGAGGCTCTTGGGGATTTAGGTGATGATTTGAAGCTTAGCGAAGATATTTCAAGTTAGTTGTCCACAATTTTCTTCCATTTTGCTTTGTCATCTATATTCAGACAGCTTGAACTGCTAGCTTTGTTAATAACACTGTTTCATCTCTCAACCATTGTATGTGCCTATCCACATATGTGTCTATCAAGTCGGTCCGTTACTACTTTAGAGCCTCATACGTATCAAAACGTTTGACCAGAAAATAATTTTCGATGGAAAGTAAATTTCGAAACATTGATCCATAGGGAGAGGTTAAGATACAACTTTCTACTGTTTTCTTCCTGTAGGGTACAACGCAGGGTTTTTTCGCGCGCTCTGTCTTTGCTCATTCCGATTTGTCCTCAAAATTGTCGCCTTTATTTCTTTTGTTTGGGATTCGAATAAACATCGATTCTAAAGCAGCGAAATTGGAAGGAGATCCACTCCACATCCAACGTTTTTACTCCTGAGTTCCGAAATATTGCATGGAAAAGAACGATGAAAGCAAAGCATGTGGAAGATTCTGAACTACTCTTTGAAATGCGCGGTAACGGTGTTTGGTTACGAAACGATTTTTTATGTAAGGTGATGAGATTATGATCGATAAATAGTTTTAACATAAATAATAAACTCTCGTTCATGAATTTACGGATATTTTTTACCACACGCATAAAAATTAACATGCAATACTATTTTCTAGCTATGTGTATGGATGAATTTCACACTAAAACCTAATTAGTCATTTCGAAAATAATAATTTTGCTGAAAAAGCAACAGTTGTTTTAAGTGATCTTGATGATAACTCACATGCCTGCGATACCGTCGGGTGTGAGATAACTACTTAATAATCCGTTTTTTCGTTAGGACTTTTACCTTACCTCAATATTGATTCTTTTAAATTCGAGAGTAGTCATTCATTCTCTGTGTAGATACAACTACATTCACAACAATGTCGTTGTCTGTTGTTTGCTTAGAAAAATAATGGAATCTATCCACTACTTGCTCAGTAATCTTTTTTATTAATAAGGATATGTTGACCAATATTTCGATTATTTCGCAAAATTTTCTGGCTTCCGGAATTTCTTAATTTTCTAACAATTACACTGGTCTCTTTCGAATAAACAGTCGAGGAATGTTTACGTTAAGCAAATTCAATCCTTTTAGGGGGCTTGGTGCTGTTTGATATACTGTTATACGTTCAAAAGATTGGTCTGATACATCTTTCGTAATGATAAAGGTGTGATCCGCATACCATAACTAGGTTTAAGTCAGGAGATCACATTTTAGGATTATGTTTATTTTCCGTGTGTACTTAAGTATTGTTCAAAACAGTTGGGGAAGCTGAAAATCTCGGCTGCATTTGTTTACTTGTATAAACTTCATAATTTAAGTAGTGAGGTGCCCCCAAATGCCCTGGTACGGCCGAGAGTGGGGAGAGTCCGCTCTCCCTCTCGAAATGCTCTCACATGGCCACGCGTATATAGCCTCTGCCAGGGAAGTTCTGTTCACTGCCTTGTCGTGGCGGGGGTGTTGTTTACGAAAATGAGAGGACGAAAAGCGAATGTCCGGCGCTTCAACCGGATTCCAAACCAATGGTGCACATGGGCTCCAGTATCCTGCGGGAACAAATGTTGTATGAACCAATTGTTGGTCACCGGCTACCATGGGACTGCATCTCCTTACGATGCTCCACTGCCTTGTGGATCAGACCTTTAGGTCGAAGGTTCGGGGAGTGGCCCCCTAAGAAAACCACCTGCCTCGGTTTGGGCACCCGGGCAGTATCACAGTCCTCACACATATCGAATGAGATTTGTGTGGCGCATATGTATTTGGTGCCTCCTTGTACCAATCTCTGTGTTAAAATAAATAAATAATGAGGTGTAAATATATTACGTTTTAGTAATCATGAGGTGTCAAATTCTAAATGCCTTATATGTAACAGTCTTGATAGATGTAACAGCAAGCAAGGAACAAAAATTAAAACGTGTTCTTAAATCCATGTGAATTGGATTGATGTTTTGAATTAATTTTGATTCCAAGTTTCAAATTGTAGGGTTTAAGAATCCCAGCTTAATATTTCGCTAGATAATACGTTGGTGTTTGTTCTGCCGACGGCTAGTGCGTTTTCGGTAGTCCATAGAATCTTCAAGAATTAAGTTAAATTAATGCATGTGCTAGGTACTTGGCTGCGAACTACTTTAAGTTTGAGAGCTTATGATACCATCCATTTACATAAACTAAAGTAGGTAGATTGGTATTCAAACGTGGGACTGGAATTCGGACGCTTGAAACACAAGACCACCGCTCCAAAGTCTAACCCACAAGTACTTGAGCTGTTTAAGGTAAACTCAAATGGACGAACTAGTTCCCCCTCCTAAGACTAATATTTTTATTGCATTACCCTTTCATTTGCTGTGCGTGGATCGACATTTGGTTTGGTCTTTTCATATTATCAAAAAGATATCCCTTAGCTTCTCTTTCATGGTACTTTATCCTTCTATTATTAAACAAATTTTCTCCTCTCTAACAAGCTCCTACTTAAAGGATGCCACAATTATCAAGGTATGTCTACTTTTAATCAAACTTAAACCGTAAGAATTTGTAAGACCGAATTGAGATGCTTCAGGCATGTCGTGGTCACACCTTCGTCATCTGCCAAATAATCAGTCGTTTTGTTCTTCGACATCTACTTTGTTAGATAAACTTATGCTCTTAAATAATCTGTCGAAAATATGTGCATTTGATGATTTTACTAATATCTTGGAAAATGCATCCACTCTTTATCTTAAACTCCAATATCCTCCCACGCATACCATCTCACTCTTTTCTTTTCAAACCGTATTCCCAAGAATAATTGTTTCTTTCTATTATTGTTGCTACTTTGCTCCAATTGTATAATTGTGCTACATCAAATTTGTTGTCGACAATTTTATGTTTCTTTGTCAGTTTCATCTTTGTGCCATACCAATGTTCTCTCGCTATTTTTATGCAAAATTAAGTTGTGCAGCTTAATTTTTCGGCTCTTGACCAGTAAGCTACAGGTTTAATCTTCGATCTACCTATTTCACTTTTAGTGTTCTGGTAGTTTCATTAGCCTATACAAAGTGTGGATCGAAGTCCAAATGTCTGTACAAGCTATCTGGCAACAGATAAAGAGAGCTAAGTGTATTGGACTGCACGAAGTCACTGACGTGACCTAAAACATGCTGAGAAATATAGGTCTGTTTTTGTTTTATAGATGTAAGTGGGTAGGGACATGACTTACGCTTGTTACCCTTCATGAAGCATACGTCGCCGGCCATGATTCTCTAACCGGCTATGTCCTGGGCAATTCTTTCCAGTTGCTATTCATCCTTTCGATATCTGCTCCCAATTCTCGGCGCGGTGTTTTCTTTGACCTTCCTCTTTCCCGTTTATTTTCAGGATTTCCTCGTGGTGCAGTTTAATAATTTCCAGTGTCCTATCCATTTCCAATGTCTTTTCTTAATTTCCCAGCTGGCAGTTGGTTTGTTCTCTCCCACATTAGGCTGTTTCTGATGGCATCCGGCCAACGGACATTCAGTATATTAGGCAATTGTTTATTTGTCCGTTTTTGATGATGGCTGTGGTAATTCTCCAAGTTACAGTTCCGTACAAGTGAACTGTCTCGACGTTCGTACTGGTATGATATGACGAGAGTATGAGTTGGCTGTTTAGTTCACATCCCTATCACATCATATGCCTGAAAAACTAAATGCCTGTGTATTAGAAGCACAGGAATTTAAAGTTTTAACTATCGATACTTATTGCTAGTTTCAGTTAACTTTTATGTCACTATGCACTGTAGATACTTTCGTAGGTATCAGTCGTTATAAGTATACGGCTTAATATTTTAGAAATTCCGTTATCTAAAATGAATTCTTAGTGATTTTTATACTATGAGCTCCGTCACTTTTTAATACAAATTAAACTTCCCAAAATTTACTTCACACTTGATTCGTTTTGATTAATAATCCTGAGTTACCATCTTTAAATTTTATATGAGGCCAAAAATACATAACACAACGTTGATAGCTATTTTCTGTAGGTAGTCCGGTTATGATCTACAATATTAATAGCATATTATGGTAAATTTTGTAGTTGGAGTACTTTATGTCACCTTTAAAAAGGCCATTTTGTTGCCACGGGTAATATCAATTGATGAGCAGATTTTAGACAGTAAAACTAAAATAAAATACTTATCAATAGATGAAATACAAAGATACGAAGTTTGGTTGAGTGATAATTGTTCACGAGATCAAATTGTTGTCTCAAAACTCGTTATAAACTAATACCCAACAAGACAGCTAGTCAAAATAATAGGTTTTTTATTGTGTATAGTAATATGATACTCATGCATAAATTATTAATACAAAATAAACATAATTAAATGTGTCGCTCAGTTTCTTGGATTAGTTGAAGTTAGACATTAACAACGTTGAATGCTGACTCAGTGGTCTAGTGGTTAAGCGCTCGCGCGCGAGACTGACAGGTCCTGTGTTCGAATCTCTCGAGGCGGGATCGTGGATACGCACTTCTGAGGAGTCCCACAATAGGACGAAACGGCCGTCCAGTGCTTCCGTGTTTTCCATGGTGGTCTAGCTTCAATTAACTCATGATCTCAACTATTGAAATTCCTATAATATCCGCAAAACCCTTCTGATATAATTAAATGTCGTAAAAAACAAGGAAATCGGTTTGTTGTTTAGATACAGAGTACTAGTATGGCAAATCAGTGAATTTTTATCGACTGATGTGGTTAGGACATGTATCACGTAAGCCCATCCGTCAACTACCTCTATGCGTTATGGTGGCTTATGTAAAGCAGGTCGTGAAAATTCAATGGCGTCCAAACCAAGAAATGGCATCAGTCGGAAGACACTAACTATTGGAATGTACCACGTAAGTAGGTTCAGACTACGTGGTTGGCGTCCGTGTGATTATGTTAACTAATGATTAGGGACTTCAGTAACCTGGTTTATAATCATTTGTAATTGCTTAGGTGCATTCACCCTTTGTCGTCACTCAGATCTTAAGTTTTTAAATTCCTCATCAAATGTTTTCGTTATTTCTCTAGTTTATATTTTCTCAATTTGTATTTAAATGTCTAATCTCTTAAATTACCATTGAAACTGTTACTTCGTGTACTACTTGGGGATCAGCCCTGATAATTTCATCTTGGTGGGCTGATGAGGTATGGAAACTCGAACAGATATAAACATATTTATATCCTACGTTCCGTATGACTAACTGACTGACTACGCTTCAATGGCTTAAAACCTAACTGCTCTGGATTTATTTTTCCCATCATATTAGTATTTCAAATTTTATCATGACATTTTAACATGTCTGCTACATTGAGCAGAGTGTATAGTTTGCCCACACTTTCGATGTTTTATAAACTAGTTAGTCGGTTCTCTCATCATATCTTAATTTGAGGGCTTTCTCACTGAATAATTTAGATACCGAGGTCTCTGATCCCAGTTATGTGTTTCTTAATGGACAATCTACAATGAATGGCTCTAATTTTGGACACAATTTGGCTGAACCTGATTGTAGAGCTAACAATTCTGTTCATGATTTCAACACAATTGTATCATCTGACAGTAATGTTGGTGGAACTGAGTCTTGGCGGGAGGAATTCGAGAAAAGAATTAAGGCTAAAGATGCTGAAGAAGAAAAAAAATGTGCTGAGTTGATGGAAACAGGAAAAAAGGTAATTTTTCAGATAATCGGCTTTTTGATAATCCGGTACATTGTGTTCTGTCCATTTTCTTTGGGTCTTGATGATATCTGATTTTCTTTTAACATTATTGAGTGGCTTCTATACATCAACGGCACAAAGTGGGCCTTTTTCATTGTAGTTTCTACACGAATACCGATTACTGTTCAACTTGATAAATTTAGCTGGATGACTACCAGCTTTGTGGATTAGATCTGCCTGTTGCAATGAAACATACCCCAAATGCCCTGGTACGACCGAGGGTAGGGAGAGTCAGCTCTCCCTCTCGAAAAGCTCTCAAGTGGCCACGTGCATACCACCACTGCCAGGGAAGTCTTACTCACTGCCTTCTCGTGGCGGGCGTGTTGTTTACGAAATTGAGTGGACGAAAGGCGAATGTCCGGAGCCTTAACCGGGTTGGTGGATATGGAGGATCCACCTAGGGAAGTTGAAAAACCCTGATTCCAAACCAATGGTGCACATGGGCTCCAGGATCCTAAAGAAACTAATCGCGTATGAAATAATCGTTGATCACCGGCTACCGTTGAACTGCATCTCCTAACGTTGCTCCACTGTCTTGTGGATCAGACCTTTAGGTCAAAGGCTCTGTGTGTGGGGCTCTCTAAGAAAAGCACCTGCTTCAGTTTGGGTACCCGGTTAGTACCCCAGCCCTCACATAAATCGAATGATTTATGTGGCGCATATCTGTTTGGTGCTTTCTTGTACCAACGTTTATGTGTTTAAATAAATAAATCCAGATGCATCCTAATAATTAAAACTTTAGTATATCAGACCAGTACCAACCACTAGTGGTCATGAATAGCCTACGTTAGGCACTTCTAAATATGATTAGTTAAGGATTATCATCAAATGCGAAGTTCGTTCTAAGATTTGTGTAGTCGAACTGCTATTCTAATAGTTCGCGCTACTTTGTCCTTTCATTATCCTTCCTACATAAAGGGCAGTTGACAGTTGATTCTATAAATCTGCATTGGGTTATCACGTTTTCCCACGTTTTGGACTCGTACTACACATAGGCTTAATCATTTCCTTGTTTTCACTTGACGAAATAAAAAGCAAAGCTGAAGACATTTGATTTAAATCATATTCTAAAACACCATCAAAACAGGTAATCAAATGTTTTGCACTGGTTCATAATGAATGTTCATGTTTTTTTCATCTGGGTAGTTATTGGTATATTTTTTGAATTATTACAATTGTGTGCTTAGTGCTCAAATGTTTGCACAATTGTTAGTGCATTTTCGTATCGTGGTCAATTTGCAAGAACTAAAGCACTAGTCTAGTGTAATCGTTAATTCATATTCGGTTACGAAAATAGGTTTTCATAAGTTAATTATTGTGTAATCAAAGCTTTCAAATGTTTTGGTACTTCTGTTTTGATTTTAGTATATATATACTGCTATTGTTCAATAATTCACCAGTCTATTGCTAAATTTTAATCTGATTTTTAAGGGAATCCATGTTACTTATCGTTTATTGCTTTTTCAATATTTCATTTGAAATATATTCATAGGAGTTAAATCATTGGTACAAAGAATATCACCAAAGATTAGAAACAAAATCCCGTGAATTGCGTGAGAAAAAAACATGATTCAAATGGTCATTTCATGAATGGTGATGGTAGCAAACCATCTGTGAAAGATACAGCCGTTTGGGAGAGTATTTGCAATTTATGTGATTTTCAAGTATGCGTTTAATATATCATTTTATTTGATTACCTAACCTGTTAAAAAACTTGGTAATTTCTTTTCATTGAAGATAAATTAGATCTTTCATGGTTAGAAAAAATACATTAATTAAAAGCGTTGGTTACACAAGACTCGACGTGTAATCACTGGATTTTAATTGTTTGAATCCTGTTCTATTTATTTTAGTCAGAGCAACCCCAGTTGTGTTATAGCTTAAAGCCCTTGGTACTTAGTCTCGGTATATATCCGTAATTTTACTTAATTCAGCATCTGGTCAAAATGATCAGTAAAAAAACGATTAAAAAATACCCGTCAAATAGCAGTATAAGTTTGTTTTTTAATTGTGAAATACGTAAGTCTCAAGGCAAGAAAGTAATTAGTGCTTAGGTGTTTCCGTGTTTTAGATATATTAAGTAACTTGGCATTAAGTTGTTCTCTTATTTAATTTCATCTTAAGTCCTCGTTAACTATATTGAACACAGTTTAAATTTCTTAACTGGATTCTATTTTAATTCATTTATTTAAATATGTACTTCTAATGTATCACTGTCAGATGCGGAAATATTCATGGTCTTGTTTGTACGCGTGAGTGGAACGTCGACCTAATAAATCACTTTATTATAAATTATACAATCTACAGAGTTTTATATATAAGGCTGTACATGATGGAAAACCGGAGGTACACGAATAAACCTTAAGTAATTTTCTATGGTCCTGGAGTTTTGTTTATTTGTTCACTTATTTAATTGTTGAAACTATGAAACATTACAACCGCCTAATTAGCGACATACAATTCTAGTTGGCATTCGAATTGTTCAATGGAAGACCAATGTCTGAAAGACGAAGATATGAGGCCATTCCATAAATTCTCTAATTTGTATTCATTATCCTTTGCTATCTTTAACTATTATAACGATGTGGTACTATGTACTTTAATTCTAGTGAGTTAGAACAGTTGTCTCTTAAGTATCGTTTACGACTGATTAGTAGACAGTTGCTATTTTAATGACACAACGCCTCAGGAAAATTGTTATTGAGCTTGTTCTATTAATGATCTGTTGAAAAGTGAAATCTATTTCGTCAACTTCAAACAAACAGCATATGTACAGTTATAAATATCTAAATTTTCATTTTCCTCTTCCCATAAGGTTTAGGTATTCTGCGTATTTGGCCTCAGAGTACTTTAGAGATATGTCTAGCTAACAACTGAAATCCTTGTAATGTTAAGATATGAAAGTGTGTTCTGTATAGAGATTTACTTCCAGCAATCTTCTAAGTTCCCTTAAGAATTGTACTTTGTTAAATTCAATTTACTTACTGTTAGTATTCAAAGCAGCGCTTACAGACCTTTTCGTAGATGTCACCCCACCAACAATCGAAGAAATCATCATGGCCACCATGACCAGGCAAAATACCAGCTGAATCACTGAAGTCAGACAAGGATTCTCAGCATTCTATTCAGGAAGATTTGAGAGGAAGAACAATTCCCGACAGACTGAAAAGAAGGACACCTCATCAAAATATCAAAGAAAGGAGATCTGAACAAATGTGAGAACTACAGAGGCATCACACTACTATCAGTACCAGGAAAGTTTTTCAACAGAATGTTGCTGAGCCGGATAAATGACTCAGTAGACGCCCAACTTCGAAATCAACAGGCGGATTCTGTAAGGATCGGTCGTGCGCAGACCGATTCGCAACACTGCGGATCATCGTTGAGCAATCAATTAAATGGAACTCGTCACTTTACATCAACTTCCTGAACTATGGGAAAGCATTTGACAGTGTATAGGATGGCCTTATGGAACCTTGTTCGACACTGTGGTGTACCTGAGAAAATCGTCAACATCAAACAGGATTCATACGACGGACTACACTGCAAAGTGGTGCATAGAAGACATTTGACAGATGTATTCCAAATGAAGACTGGTGTCAGACAAGGCTGCTTAATCTCCCGCTTTCTCTCTCTTCTGGTAGTTGACTGGATTATGAAAACCTCCACATCTGAGGGAAAGCACGGAATACAGTGTGCAGTTTAGATGCACCTAGACGATTCGGAATTCGCATGTGATCTAGTCCTTTTATCCTATGCACAGCAACAAGTGCAGATGAAGACAGCCATTGTAGCCTTAACTTCTGCATCAGTAGGCCTCAATATACACAACGGAGAAATCAAGATCCTAAAATACAACACAGCGACCACCAACCGAAGCCCAGGACAGTGTAGTTTGGAGATTGCTGGTCGGTAGCCTATTCTCCACAAGGGTTAACAGGGGTAAGTGAGTAAGTAATATCGGTAATTGTTAACAACGTGGTATACATTGTTTTTTGAATAAGCCTTTTCAATGACTAATTATGTTAACTAAATATATATATTTTTTGTCTCCATAATGTGTTCAATGAATATTTCTTACATTTACAGGTTTTTTTTCCATATTTATTTTCCTCTCCCGTTTTTTTTCATTTTTCAGTCCAAGCAAAAAACTGCAATTGATACGTCAAGAATGCGTAGTATTCTACTCTCTCTTAAACCGAACAATTAATATACACTATTCATGGAATATCAATGAAAACAATTTGTGCCTATACCCTGTTTTACTGTTTTGTCTTCTTTCAATAATATAAACAAGTGTGATTTCTACTAAATAGGGAAAAAAAGTGCCTTGTTATATGTTATATAATGTTTGGAATTTGTATTTTCTCTCACCTAACTAATTATTGACAATTGGATAATTAATTTCATCTTGGTTTTGTTCATTAAAACATGACAATATATATATTTCCTCCCTCTTTTTATCTAAATAAATTTTGATAAAAATGGTTTATGTTTATCCTAAGTTGATAATAATTCTTTATTAGGCATATACATTACGCTATCAATGTTTGGTTGTGTCAGTTAATTCTCTTTTTTTGTGTGTGGAACAAATACAAATGAATTTTGGTTTTTACAACATATATTTTTGTAAGCGAATAGTTCTACCATTTATTGGTTCGTTTCTCTGCCTTATATTAACATTCAGAATTATAGGTGTTTGCAATTATGATTTGTGTCAGTGTTTGTTACTTTTCTGTCGGTATGTTTGTCCGAAAAGGCGTGTTTTTGTCTGTGTGTGTGTGTGTTGTGCTTCATATATTTTTTCTTAACAATTTATACTGTGAATAAATAAATGACTTAATTGATACTTGTTGTTTTCTTTGTCTTTTATCGATAATGTTTTGAAAAGTTATACATATATGTATGTTTGTATTTGGTGTGTGTGTGTTATTGTATTTGTAGTTCGTCGGGTATCCTGAACTTCTGTCAATTCTGTAGTCACGAGTTGTTTAAATTTTATGATTAGGTTTATATACAGCAGCTTATATATATAAGTTCACCTACCAAGTACCGGTTTATGTACTCAGCTGTTAATCATATTATATTTGTAGGTGCTAGTGATATTACTCTGCTTCTCAAACCTAAATATGTGCAGCGAGATTATATTATGCCACCTACTGGTTGGTTTGTCGTTTGCTTTAAACACTATGCCACAATATATTTAACTAATTTATCATTGAGTAGTAATCAATGCAATGTCTCATATAGTGATCTAATTCTACCCGATTTGTGTTTAAAATATTAACCACTTGGTTAATTGATTCAGTGTTACGATGGACATCGTTAAAGGTGGTGGGAATTGACTATATGGTCTGAGTCTAGATTTCATAATATAGTTCACACTTAATATAATAAGGTATATCTGCAATCCTCAGGAAGTTTATGCTCTCGTTAGGGCTCACTTCCACAGCAAATATATATTTTTCATTTGAATACATTTTTTTTCAATGAGTCTATATTCAAAATTGTATAATCGTACACATATATATTCCTTTTAAGTCTGTAAACGAATTATTTTTGTAAGAATGTTAGTATAGCGATTTTTTATGATAAATTTGTAACAATTTTAACTATCAAAGGCTAAATTTAGTACATTTTACGGAATAGTTAATGTAGTCGGTGCAGGTTTGTTTTGCCAAGTTATGATAGTTAGAGAGATGCTCTCGTCGCATGCAACAAGAAAGTGGAGGCCCTTGTGAACAACATTCACACTTACAGTGGTTGCGCTAAAAAGTATATGTGCTTTACTTTTCTTAAACATCCCTTCTATTACTAAATAGTCCACTGTTTATTATCAAATCATATATATATATATATATATATATATATATATATATATATATATATATATATATATATATATATATATATATGGAGAGAGAGAGTCAATATGGCAAGATTATAACTGTATATTGGTTAAGGAGACAAATTTTTCACTAAATATAGAACATTAGACTAATCAATGCATTAATTCTTTTAAAAGACTGACACACTTATATTTCAAAACTTTGTTATCTGACACATCCCACAATTCTTCCATCTATTAAGCTGTAGACTCAAACCCCTACCCACTTCTGTTTTGGTGTGCAACATTACAACTAATACTTGACTAAAAGCCGAGTACATGAATTTGTCAGTTGGTAAATTAATTATGTTTACGCATCTTGTGGTCGATGTCATCGTTATTCTCCTATTTTTAAATAGATCATCCACGCATTCGTATAACATAAAAAAATAATTGAATGTAATTGTGAAATAAATATCACCATGATCTACTCACTCTTCTTACTAATTAATGATAACTCAACTTCTATATATATTATCAAGATCACGAATCAATTCAAGCCAGACAATCATCGGAAACGTAGAAGCACTGGAAGGTCGTTTCATCCTAGTATGGGACTTCTCAATCACCTACGGCCACACCATAGGGGGTCCTAACCCTGGGTCTTCGGTCTCGCATGCTAACGCTTAACTTGTAGATCGTTGAGTCATAATCTATTGGTGTACAAGTGTAACTTCAATCAATCCAAGATATTGCGTGATAATCTTTCATTGTATTAGGTGAGAATCTTTCTCACACTTGATACAGTTAAACTATACTGATTGCGACTTCTGTCTAGAACTCCAGAAGTCTTTCAAAACTGGCTACTGATGAACACTCAATTATTGTCTGTATGTGGTTGTGGAGATTATTGAACATATCTAAGTTAGATAATTTTTCGTTTTCAATACAATCTACATAGCATAAGTCATCGTTTTCTAACTAACTAACTAATATATATATATATATATATATATATATAGTTAGAAAAAGATGACTTATAAACTAGCTATTGGCCGTTGAAAAGTAATTTCTAAAATTTAACACAATAATAAAAAGTGGAATTTTTATGAAGAAAGCAAAACCTATTACTGATTATACTTGGTTAAAGCAACATAATACTATAACAGATGTTTTCTATTTTACAATTCATTTACTGGAAATTTTTTCATATAGCCTATTTGAAATCTAATTATACTATGAATTATGTTCACTGGTACACTTTGCTACTGTGTTACATACATATTTAAAATCTAAGTATATCAGTTCATTGTTTGCTTTTTCTCTTGTTATATCTAAGCCCTTAATAATTAAGGTCATTCAGTTACAACAGTTAGTTTTTTATAAGCACCTCATAAATATTGAATCTTAATTTTTATGATCGTACAGCTCCATGTACTAATCCTTGAGTTACACTTTTATTTTATGCTTTATTATCGAGACTTAAGCATATCTAACCTGTCTTATATCTGCAACACAGCAGTTGAAATTGATAGTCCACGCCGTTTACACACGTTTATTGTCAGTATTATCAGGATGGTAGTCATCATCATAAGCGACGTAGGACTTGACACATATGTAGATTGATTCAAGTTGCCATAAAGCATGTGCACATCGAGATAAAATTATTTCAAGACAAATCCTAGAGCAGCAGAATTAGTAACAATATCAGCAGTAGCATATGAAAGAGTTTTAGAGAGATTTCGGGACCCAGGTTCTAGAGCAAGACTAGGAGTGAATGCACCTCCACGACTGCAAAGGATTATGAACAGTGTCACCCAGCGTTCTCGAACCCTTTGTTATGATAATCGCACGAACCTCAACCAAGGAAATCTACATCTGTTAACGTGGCTCAAAAGTACATTAATAATAATTAAACATGCTTCTTAGTTGTTAAATCACTGAAGCAGAAATCCTTATTTAGAGAAAGGTGAATAGAACGGCAAAAGATTATTTTTTAATCCATTCGTCATCATTAAGATTCTACATTAATGATAATGAAGTCAGCACTAATCAAAAGATAGCATATTATGTAGCAATATTACAAATTCTTAAGTATGTTTAAAAATAGTGCTGATTAAATAGCAATAAATAAATAGTGTAAATGGTTAGGATAACTTTAATACTCAAAGACATTGATTAATAAATGAATTAGAACATACGGTATTGCAGCATCGATAGATTACACAATAATTGCTATACATTTGATACAAAGTTGAATAATAATGATATCGGTTATGCAAGAATAAAGAGAACGCTATATAAAAATATGAATGATGAGAACGTTGACAAAGGAGGTCGTAATTAGTTTGTCAATCACTTCAGTATCGATTATTTTGATGATCAAGGTAGGGAGGAAGAGTGGTTGTACAAAAATTTTTTATAAACATTTTCCCTCGTGAGTTTTAATAATCATATCATTATCATCAAACATTTTAGCGTAGAGTTTTGAGCAAAAACTAATTAGATCACCAGTTAACATGTGTTTAAGCGATGAGTGATATGTTCTAAGTTTATAGTTGACACTTTATATTTATGAAATATTTGTGGACTTTTAGGAAAAAGTCTAATAGTAACAACAGCTAGATTTAATGTAACTGCTAAGTTTAAGTAACCAAAGTAAGTCCTTTCTAGATTAAGTTAGGCCATGTGATGTATTATTTTGTAGAAGGTTTCGTTTTCTCAACTGAGTGGTTTAATGGTGAGGTTCCCATTGTTCTTCACAAACTTCAAATAGAAGTGTGCTATTCGAATTTCGCTTATGACTAACAGCTTGCTCTGTTGATCTTAACTTGTTGCTAACTCTTGTTTCGTCATCACCTAATTGTTTATTTTAAATATCTCTTTTGATCCTATTCTTGACCTTATTTTCGTTGACGGACAATAGAAGACTAAGGTCAACAACTACCAGCTAATATCAAGGTCGACAGAACAAGCTACTAGTCATCTTTAGAGAAATCCAGACAGCTCACTTTTATCTAAAGCTTGTGCTGAACGTATTGTTTAGAAGAATAATGGAAACTTCACAAATAAGTCACTCAGCTCAGAGTATGAAACTCCACCAAAACCGTCCACCTGAGCTACATATCACTATGCGATGTATTATCTATTTATTAGACTATTTGACATTGTTTTGGTTGACAAACTGAGATTAATATGTAGGAATAGTGATTTAAATAGGAAGATAATTCTTTATCAGAGTGCGATGAAATTGTAACTCATATTTTATATAATCGAGGGTTTCTAGGGTAGTTCAAATGCTTCTGCCATCAAGTTTTTTTTAACCAGAAAATCAGTCGTTTATGTATTTCGTTGTTCCTTACTTATTAAATTGCTTAAATACTTATCTTATAAAGTCCGACTTCTTTAAAAAAAAACGAAACACAGAATTCTGTTAAGATCTTTGAGTTTGTGTATGGTGAAAAATCTTGCGTAGATATACATTTGATCTTTTCGTGTTATAATTGCTCATTCGCCAATGGGGAAGGTAATTTAAAAGATCACTGATTATCAATAACCACGGTGGTTTCTGAGGTTTATCTTTGTATATTCTTTGATTGAAAGTATATACTCTTACTGCTTGAAAAGTTTTTATACAACTTAATAAATGGCATTCAACAACTTGAATTACAAACCAATCTAAATATAGAATATGTGTTATGACTAAATGATTTTATTTGTATGAGATCAATATTTAGGATTTCCAAAGAATTGTCACTCAAATGTAATGTTCTTCTGAAATATTCTTAAGTTTCTTTTTAATTCTCAATGACATTGACTCACCAACAGTATTGTGAAATGCTCACCAAGAATAAAAAAATACTCCCTTTTTGATTTTTATTGACAAGTTGAGACTATTATAACACTAAACTAAATAATTATAATATAGTAAACTATGATTAATGTAAACCTATTCTCTAAGAAAATTAGACAAAAGTTGATTCATACTTAATTTTACTATCAAAATTAAATATGTTGCATAATCCTTTTATCATATTTATAGTATCGACAGAGAGATGTTTTTTAGAGCTACCTGTTATCTTAGTGTGTAATCCATGGTCATCTGAATTCTAGCGTTTACACTATCCTACAAAAAATAATTTTGTTTAGTATAAATAAAAATACAGTAAATGTTGAACTCTGAAAAAAGGTGGTCATCATTAATCAACTCGACACCATTTAAGTTATCATTTTCAGAAAATAAGTACCAGTATGAACTTTTTTACCTATAAAAAAACAATGAAAACTTGAACATATCAACAACGTTATGTATAATCGTAAGCAGAGGTGGATGGTGGCTAACAATGAAATACAAGGTATGCATTTTGTTCCATTTGGGACTCGTCAGCAGGGTGTACCTGCATCCCAGATTTGATGTGCTAGCTTCGAGTCCCAGAGTGAACATTAACTCTGGTATACAGGCACATCCAGTTGACGAGTCTTAAGTAAAACGTGGTGCTTGTCGAGGCAATCTGCACAGGATCCACATATTTTAAAAAGAGACAGATCAATTGGAGATATCAACATCAATGTGAAGATTCAAACAATCGATACGAATAAGAAAATGTATGAGCAATCATAGATGATATCATTTACAATCTCTCACTATTTGTTATGTTTCACAGTGGCTTATAAATGTGTATCCATATACTCGGTCCGGTCCAGTGGCTGATGCGTTTTTTCTACTAAAATAATCTCCTAACTTTCTAAGCGCTACGCCTTCATTTTTATTCAAAAAAATCTTATCATGTAGGCGTTCAGCTGCGGTAAAAGTATTTTTTTATTACTGTAATAACTTGAAACATGACTGGTTTGTTAAGGTTGTGACTTGAGTTAATTACTGATCTCTATAACTGTGAATTACATTTGTCTGTCTCCTACAGAATACAACGGAACAGGACTGCTTTTGTTGACGCAATGAATAAAATAAAATTGTAGAATGGATTGATTTATTCGCCAACCACTAAGTAAGTGACATTCAGGGTTCATAAACTACCTATCATTTTAAATGTTCTGGTCAATAATAAATGTGAATGTATTGAACTAGTAGTTAAGTCAACTGTCTAATATCTGCATATAAAATTTGTAGTATAAATGAATTCACTGAGAAATATAATTCACCACTAAATTATCTGTTTGTTTTATTCTTGACAAGTACCATAATACCTGTTTTTATTTGTAAACGGCTCGTATTTTCCATCTGCTAATATTAAGTTATGAAAATAATTAGTTTGTGTTGATATATATGCACCCTGAGCAGATAGGTTCAGTATTATGATTTACAAAACTTACAAAGTCCACATAGGACACACATTCGTCCCATTTTAGACTCATCAACTGGAATGTATTTGGATCCCAGTACCAATGTTCATGCTGAATGAGACTCAGTTTCTTAGTGGACAACGGGTTTGTGTTCGGGACTAAATACAATGGGTTCGGGTCGTAGTTTCAATATAAGCACTGTGATACTGGTACATTCAGGCACCTGCAGTGTTGATTCACTCGGTCCAATTACCGGGTTACAATTTGGCATGGTAGGTACATTTAATAGCTCAGGTGGACAATGTTGTTTTGTTCGATGGTTTAGTTAAGCTGTCTACCTCAGAGGATGAAATACCAAATTGCAACCTGATCGATAGAATTTGATTAACAATAAAGGAATATACAAGCATGAAACCAGGCACTTTTAAGTGATTGATCAATTCTAAATATTGTAGTCCACTAGGAGATCAGCCGTGATCCAAATATCTGAGTGAAAATGTCTCAGACTGGGACGCTGGGTAATCGTACAAGGCGCATTGGTCACCTGAAGCTCGCAGTTGCAACAGTCCCAGGATTTCCCGTCGACTACCTTCAACCACACGGCATTTTTTTGTTCTAATTTATAGATAATGCAGTATACATAACGGTTTTAAAGAATAACTGCACAATATATCCACATGAACAGCCTGCTTCCTAAAATAAGTTTCAGATCATTGTATAGTATTCTTGAGTAAAAATGAATTTTTCCGACCCGGTAAAATTTTGCTGCAATAGTAATATTGAAAATTGAAAATACAGTCGATCTAATCAAGTTTTATAGATTTTATAATACTAAAAATACGACAGTGACTAAATTGTACGTATCTTCAAGATCCGTTTAATACAATGTCTTTCTTCCTAAAGCTTTTTATAAGACTGATCTCTAGATAATTGTAAACAGTACTGTTGTTGACCAGGAAAATACATGGAATAATTATACTTAGCACTAGCTGTGATTATAAATTTTATTAATCACATAAGCATTCAGTACAACTAAACACTTATATAGAATGTGATACATCAAAACAAAACAACAGATTTGTTGAGGAAGTAGTCGTATAATTAATAAAGAGAAATAAACAAGTATAGGTTGATGGATAAAGCATATAATTTTGTTTAAATTTGAAAAAGATAAGTTTCATTTAATTTTAGAGTATTCATGTTACTTATGTGAGGGATGTAATAAGAATAATAGCATTATTGTTACTAGTTTTCATTCTGAACAATATCTAGTACACATCTTAATACATTGAATAGTATAATCTCTATAGTAATCCAATCAGTGCGTTATAGTGAACTAAATAGGAGTATTAGTCCCAAACATCTATCTTTTATTCTAAATCAATAATGATAATGATTAGTGCAAAAGAGAACGTTTATTATAAAGATTTTAATTGAGTATATTTATTAGTGTATTCTAGACAAAAGTTTTATGTGTAATGACACAATGTATAATGTTTTTTTTACAGCTAAATACGAATTGTAAATCATATTTCTATCTTCTTGGAACTAGATATAAACACAATACAGAATGGTACTAATGTCGAATATACTTTACCCAAGAATTAGAGCTTCCTATAATTTATAATTCTTAACATTAATCATACAGTATTTTAAAGCATGTGCAAAGTCTTGTTTCTACAGTTGAAGAGGGATTTGAGTAAATGCTCAATCGGTAATTATTCGTGCATTCAATGATGATGTATATTTTAGTTTGACCAGTGATTGGGAAGAAAAATATACAAAATTCAATATTGTTTATGAGTAGTCGATTAATCATTTACGGATTCCATAATCCATTTGAATGACTAGCATTTACTTTGAATGAAGTTATAAATTGCGTTTGGAACTGGGTGTCACTGAAATACAGGATGTATACATGATTGTCTATTGGACTCAACTGAATATTCTTTCCTTATTTTTTTAATTTTTTTTTGTTTCCCCAATTATTTCTTTAAATACTAGACGGTTAATTATCTATATATGTTAGGCTACGGACTTACGGTGGACTACTCGCCATTTAACAGATATCGAGTATAAGGATTTTCTATTTTTCATATTTATCAATTGTGAACAGATAACTTGGTATTGCTTATGGTTGTTAGCAATAGAATTTCGAGATTACTGTCTCATCTTACTGATTATTCTACAATCTTTACCTGACTATGTCAAAAGTTTCCATCTTATTTTATTTTCTCTATTCTTTTTTAAAGCATTGAATCTTAGTTTTGAGGTTTATTTACTTTAAAAATGTCAGAAGTTGTATATTTCTTAAATCAATCACTAACTACATGTTCATTTAGAGTATAATCCACGACTGATAAATGAAAGTCTATTTGTGACTGAAAATTATTTTAATTTTTTACGAAATGGTTTTTTTTCAATAAGCGATTAATGAATTTTATTCTAGTTAAAGTCAGATTATATCATGAAATAACATTAATTGAGGGACCTTGGAAAACTATAGAGAAGGCTCAATAACTGCCTTTCCTTGGCTTTAAATTTGTTAACAGTCTGCACTAGTTGTACACAGATTCGACTCCATGATTTAAGTTATCGATTTGGCTACGGAACTTGAAGCTTGTCGGTGTAAATCACTCTTAGTTGATCTAAATGTCTTCACAACTTAATTTCTGTTGTAGTCCTGATTCATTAATGCTCAATTTTGTATTGATCCTTAGATAAAGGTTATCGTTAATAAACTAAACCGATAACTTGTTCATGACAATCGAATTGCTTTGACTTATTCAATTTCAGCATAACTAAGTGCATGTTTTTTCTACATCATATCAGATAAAAGACAGAAAAATTCTAAATGATTGTTTAATACAATTATGGCTGAATGACAAGACGATGTTTGAAAGCATGAAGTAAACAACAAAGAACAAAGATAGAAATACAGTTGACCAAAAATTGATTTAATTATGTTGACACACATAATTTGATCAATATGTGAGATTTTTTCCGGACAAATATACCATTCGCTTATAGTTATTGAGTTTTTGTATAAATGTAGTGTACAACTTTGGTTTTGTATTAGATCCTATGTTTCAAAATGAAGCAACTAACTAGTATCTAATTTCATAAATGTACACATTTAGTAATAAGCAAAATAGTTTTTTTTTTGAATTCAAGCAATCAATGTGAATGTCTTATGGTATACTTCGAAGAGAAAATATCCACTGTTTTCTGTCAGCACTTTTTAAAGTATCTAATATCAACCTGTGAAATAACCTCACTATCCTAAAATAAGAAAACACCAGTTACTTCTAGTTTTAAGCATCAACTTCCAAAAATTATACTTTATCTAATAAGTTTTAAACATCGATCGACTCACTGAGTCATGTTTATTCAGTCACTTTTAGATCTAGTTGAATTCTATTGATTGACTTGCAGTACTGACCACCAGTTAAGGTGATTTGACATCGCATACATTATGTTTTGATTTTAAGAAGTTGGAGGTAGTCAGCTGAAAATCCTGAACTTAGGTTTTGTGCTAATTGACACTTGCCTAGTATAACATACCTTCAATTTTAAACCATCTAATGCTTCCTGGTTGATTCATACCTGGATCATGCTTGACATCTTAGTTTTAGTTATATCCTTGAGTGCATCATAGAGAAAGCAGTTGGAAACGTTTCAGTTCCAACCTTTTTTTTCATAGACTTATTTATTTGATGATAATACTGATTGGCAATTTACAATGTGATTAAATGAAACGGTTATCCAATATTCTCGTTTTTTCACCAGTTTACTAGTGTTGATTTTATTTTTGAATTTTTTATATACCATTATTATTGTTCAATTATGTCTTGGTTTATGTACCTGTTAGTGTCTTTGTAACGAAAGAAAACTTAGATGGGGATAACCAATTTATTGTTTAACACAAAATTACAGAGCTCTTTTGTAAACTGTGAAAACCATGCATCAAATACTTCGTTTGCAAATCCTCCACCAATTGTCTCAAACTTCTTCATTCCTTCATTGATATTACAACTACTCTCTGTTCCTGTTCTCTTCTCTTCGATCTTCTAAACATTCTGCTGCCATGCACTTGTGATTTGTCTGTCAACATAAGTAGCGTACACTAAATATGTTCTATCGTTCAATTGTATAGGTTATATATGGTTAAAAAACAATGAAAAGCAATTCATGAAAGATATTTCTATATAGACAATTTCACTTTGGTAATTATGTGCAAATGTTTTGGAGAAAGTGGTAATCTAGAATAATGTTTATTTATCTTAAAAAATGACAAGTGTTTTGGAAAAAAATTTCAAATATAAGACAGCTATTTGTGATTTATTATTCCAATTTCAACTATTATTAAGGAGTACGCGGGTTCTAAGTTGTCTAGTCAACTTGCAAACACTTTTGACCATGTATAATTTACCAGTTTGATTATATTTTAGTCAGAGAGTTGCATGAAGCAACCAATATTTCGTTATGTTTTTGTATTTCAGTGTTGTACAAAAGAAGAAAAGTTTCTAGAAAATGAAAATTGATGTCGGAATTTATGTATTTTTACAACTATACAAATGGATGGATTACCAGAGTGAAGTGAATAAATCGTTTAAAAAAAAGTACTCAGAAATGAAGCAAAGAAAAATTATCCAATTAAGTATTGAAAATTAATCTCACTAGAATAGCACAAGATTTAGAATTGTATCCTTTTTAAATAGAACTTGTACATTTAGAAAGATACAATTGTGTCAATCTCGTATACACTATCCTAGTAACTTAAATTTTCATTCCTTTTCTTAATATAGTTGTTATTATAAATATTTAATCACTACAACATTTAACCATAAAATGATTCTTTCATGTTTATTACTATGATTTCATTGATTTTCAGTAGTATAATATTCGTTTTAAATCATTATTACATTTCTTTATATGTTATAAGTAGCAGAAATAATGAATCTATATCATTCTACCATATTTGTTATTGTTCTTTCTACTTTAATAATACACTTATTAGTTTTAAAAATACAAATAAACATTAAAGTCAATTAATGCTGGCTAAAATCTAGAGTTTAGTGTAATAAATTAACTAGTATAATTGAATACTATACAGATTCTCTGTATAAATTAATACATACATTTTGAGTTGATAGATAGATAGATCGATTGTTGTTACTGAACTTGTAATACATCAATAGTAACTTGAATATTATTTCCATTGGAGATGGTGAAGATTTGTAGCTTAGGTAGATGATTTTGATTAAGTTTGTTTGTTTTTTTTTTTAGCTTTGATCATTCCATCTTTGTAATTGATTAGCTGGGATTAATAATGAGATTATTATATTCTTGAATAGTTAGTATAGATTTCTTTTTAATTTAGATAAATACTGATGAAATAATTAATTAATGCATATCATTTCATGTATATAGTTGATACTTTGGTCGTTTTATTAACGTCACATACCTTATTTTACATAAATTTACATAATGCTGTTGACAAGAGTTAAATGTTTATTTATTTATTTCCGAATTCTATCAATACATATTATACAATAATATTAAATTGTTGACTAGATTAAGTTTGAGTAGAATAAATTACTTCAAGAATTTTCACAATTGTATTTCATTACTCTAAACCATCAAAGTTTTATAAACAGAAATTAATGATGGCTAGTATTGGAATGCAGATACTCGTCTCATCTTATTTGAGACTTATCAGCTGGGATGTATCTGCATCCCAGAGTAGATGTTCAGTCTGAGATTCGAAACAAGTACCGTTCACTCCAAATGCTGTCTTGTTATCCAATTAGCTACTGAGTCCAGATAGCCACTGGCTTATACAATGAGGTGAATTTTAATTCATTTTCATCGATTGTTTGGATTTTTCCATTGATGTTGAGGACTACAATTGAGTCTCAGAGTAAAAATCAACTTCAGGATGTAGGTATATACGTCTGACGAGTCATATATATATATAAGGTTCAAGCAACTAGAAGCATCAGGTGTCTTACATCGTTGTAGGCATCTGAGTAGCATCGCTCGCTACCTTTCACACAAAACTAAAAACCTAGTTAAATTAGAGGTAAACGAACCTAAATTTGATTACTCGGTTACCTTAAGTTAAACTAAACTGGTTAGCGTAGCATTTTATTGCATTTCCTTCTTTTGGATTCTTGACATTCAGATTTTTTGTCTAAAGTCCCTTAATATGGAAGCGGAAATTCATTGTTTACCATTCAATTATTGGGGACAGAGCGTACTGTTTATGTTCAAGATTACGACCAGATGATGAATGAGTTCGCTGGAGGTATTGTTAACTCTGAGCTAGACTAAACCATTTAACTCAGAAAACATAACACATTCATCAAGATTATTCTTTTTGTCTTCGAACTGTAACCTATCTGCCATGTAAAGGTGTTTATGTATTCGATATTTTACAAAGCTATTTGTATAAAGACTAGTTACACTACTTTACTACCACAAACTAAAATGAATAAAACTGGGTTTAAACCTTCGGTTGTTTGTAAGTTAAACGCTTAAACCACTAAGCTGTTTATTCGCCACATTATATTAGTCTGTCGAACTGAATTCATAGGCACCTTATCATTCAATATAAGACACTTCTATTTGTTTTAATTACTACATAGAATAGGGTTTTCAAATCTTTAATCTGTTTTCTTGTATTATTGTTTCTTCATTTTTGTTTATCCTAGGAGTCTAAATATATTGTCATACCATAATGAGTTTTCAACCAGCATCATCGTCGTCATCATCACCATATTATTCATCAGATGTATCAAATTCGAATTATTTAACTCATACTAACACTGATTTAAGCGATAATCATGTTGATAGAGAATATTTTCAGCAAAAAATTTATTATTATTTGAATGAATTACGTAATTTTGTTCAACAAGCTCCTTTGTAAGTTTCATTTTCTGGTGTTCGCTCTTTATTTTTATGAACAAAAACCCTTTGAAATTCCAGTTCTTACACAAGTTAATGTAGTTTTAAGTAAAAATTAAAGTATAAAATAATACCTGGATAATTTCATCATGTCCTGGATTCATCAGTACGATGCACTTGCGATAGAGTATGATTTTTCTCTATTTTTTGTTCCTTTTTGTGTAAGATATTGTAGGGGCTGGTACTAAGTCAAGCCCACATAAGTTGTTCTAGCCTCTGGACAGACCAATCTATTCATTCTTCTCAAGCCACATTTTTACCCTATCACTTATTCGCTTATTAATCCTGACCGTTTTTTATACGATCGTATGTGTGTTAATTACTTGCCCTACTCATTATATGTTTATAACCTATTTTTATTCGACTATCAATGTCGATTCACGCTTGGTTAAATCGAGTTGGCTAACATGCCTTCTCTAATTCGTTTCTCTTGCTTCACTTTGTCTCTCTGATTGTCTGTTCATATCAACGATTGTATGGAATATACGTATTCAAACTTTATTCTCGTATTTGGCTTATTTTGTTCCGTTATTCATTAACGCGATTTAAGTCGATAATTTTATACGAGGGTTGGCAGCATTTATATTTGGATAACAATCATTCTTACGACCCAATTAGAGTCAGATACCGTGCCACCTAAAAGTGATGAGCCCGACGACAAAACTTATGCAACAAATTACATCGATGTCGAACTTTCCACACTCCATACTTTCGACGAACGAATTCAACGTAGCTTACTCAGTCGATAAACAACGCAGTTCTCAAACATGCGAGCAAATCTTAGAAAGATCACGGCACGACTAAAATGTGCATCGGAACTGGGAATGATTTGTTTCGGTATTACGGTATTCCAGATACTTATTGTTATCAGAGATTTATAATATTCATTAAGATTATCAATTATTGTCTGACAATGTTTAAAATATATTAGCCATTACAATTAGTTTTCACATTCTGACTTATTCCACCGACTGTAGCTCAACAGTGGTTTAAAGTTCAAAACACAAGTCAATGTGTGAGTCTTCTATTGTTTTCTTTTATCGGAATCGCGAACTGACCTAAGGTAGACAACTGTTAGAAGCCTGAAAGCACAGACAGCTATTTTGTCCCAGACGGGACTCCTCAGTGGCGTTTTCGTTTGTTGCATGAAATAAAGTTTTCCTGAAATGGACAATATTGTTAATCTTTATTTTCAACACTTTATTTATGAGGACTGATTTTCAGCTAATAAGTTCCAGGCTGGAATATCGTTTATTAGTTTGTAATATTCACTCAATAACAATGTAACTGAATTCCCAGTTCACGATTCATTCTACTCTTGGATGCTATGTCTTATCATGTGATAACTAAATCAATGTTTTTCCTGAAATTTCCATCCTCGTTTTTTTGTCACCTAGTGATATTCAAACAGGAATTTCGGAAGATATGATCACACAATTAGCGCATATATTAGCAGAGGGTAAAATATTTCCAACAGTTTCTGAGTTAGTCAGTAGTCAACGTGTAGAAGAACAAATATTGCATAAACAATTGATTGATTTACGTGCTGAACAATCTGGTCAGTTTTTATCGTTTCGATCAATCATTCTATAATTTCAATGCTTTCATTTAACTGTGTTTTTCAAATGTCTATGACATAATTTTCATTCTCATTGATATGTGAATTAACTAAGTCTATGTCTGTATACTGTATATAAAAAAAGTTTTCTAGCTTGTTTACTGAAATCCTTGAGATACCATGAATGGTTGGATTATCAAAGTAGCTAAGTGTGATATGTCTACGATTATAGTTATAATGTGTAAATCCCACTTGGAATCATTGTCCTAAAATGTTGTTACTCTATTGTACGAAAAGAAATCTTCAGAATATTGTAAGGTAAAATAGAAAATTGAATTGAAATTGTTGAATCGTAATCGTGGATTCTCGAAAGATGAAAGTCTATTTCTTAACGTTATTTCTGTTTTTGCTACTAGATTAGTTGAATGTTAATCAAAGACACGTGTTGAACACTAATGTCAGTTTTCAGCTTTGCTGATTGTGAATATTATCGTTCTTGGTTTGTTTAGATATGTTCGGTTTTGAGTTCCTTTTCGAAAGTGGGGACAGCCTATGTTTAAATGATCATAGATACTTGGTAATGTTTCTCAACATATTACAACTTAATCAATGGGATTAAATTATCATAAAAAGGGTTAAACAAACATTACATATTTCACCGCTCAGTGATCAAAAAATTGTAAATATATCAGTCCAATAGGAGATTAGTAGCTCAGTGTAAATGTCTCAGACTGGGTAATCCCCGTTTGAATCCACCAGAAGCACCAGTCCCTGAAGATTCCAAGTACAGCTTTTTAACTAATGTTAACTAATAAAAAAGTTAGTCTTATTGTTTTCTGTCTACTATTTCCGAACAATTAAAACCTCAATATAGTGCATATAATGTTGAGTTATTCAGATTAGTGACCACATCATTAGTTGGCCATTAGATTTTAATCAGCATTAAAAGATTAGATAAATATTACATCTCTATTCATTGGTCAATCAGTTGGAAAATTGTTTGTGTTGGGACGGCTTCGAAAACCACGAGAAGACTTCTAGAGCCTTTAAAGGAGCTGGAGAGGTTCCATCCAGTCAGAACCTGGTAGAACCCCCTAGAATATCAACGTGGCGTTCTACGGTTGGACGATAACATAAATTGCCTCCTTGCGGATTTACTGAATTATAATGATGTTATAGCCAATACTAAAAAATCAAATACCCCTGTTTTTATGTGCATTTTTGACTCTTGCCCAATAGTCCCCCTGTTTTTTTCGTCTTCTGATTTGCGACCGTTGGATTCTACACGTTTGATAACGTTAGTTGTATATCGTACTCTGCTGTAATCAAGTAAAGGATGTAATACTTTAACTTTTTTACAATCTTTCACAATGTGATTTGCATTTTCCTATTTCCAATCTTGTTAATTGCTCTTCTATCTCTTCCCCCTCTTCTTGTGTATACTCTTATTCGAAAATTGCCAAATGAGATCAGTAGTCATTTCACTTTGATAATTTATTTTTTATAGTTGGCTTAACTAAAGATGAACATTTTTTATCGTTATATAATTTGTGCTTGTTTAAAAATTAATAGCTTCTTTTTGCATTCAACATTAGCTTGTCGATCTTCTTTAAGACGAAAACATAAAGAAGAAATGTCTATGAATGCATCTCGACCACATCATCTACCGGTGTTACAAAAAGAACATGAACAAGAAATGCACGTAAATTACTCCATTTTGTTTATTTTTCTCTACATTGTGTTTTTAGATGTTTGTTGTTGTTTCATTTTATCTATTGGTTTGAAAAATCTGAACTTCATTTTCAAGAGTTTTTTGTCAAATCTTAGAAATGTGTAGTTTTAAAGCCGCGCGTTGACTCCTGTCTAATGACGTTGATCTACTCTCTCGACCGATCACTGTAATACACCTTAGAAACAAAAGTTGAGTAAGAAGTGTCTTCAAGATTCATATATTTTAAACATGAACATTGACCACAGACTAACAATAAGAAAGCAATGAATATAGAAAGCTAAAAGCGGGGGGTACAGTTAGAAGAGCCCGTAAAGGACCCGCTTTAACTGTCTAAGTATGAATCATCTTTGTATTTGCAAATAGACAACGTATAAGTTACAGGTAAGGTAACAGATATATATATATATATATATATATATATATATATATATATATATATATGAAGGATCCTTACACAGTCTTATAACTGACTAACTGGTTTCATTCAATATACATGAACTATTTTCATCTTTCTAGTCAATGAGTGTTTAAATACTAATTGGAAATATAGAAAATACTTTTTTTTAATTGCTTTATTTAGCGTTTAGTGAAAAATCAAACTGATGCTTTACGTAATCTGTCATTAAGAATATTGGATTCATTAGATGGACGTGTTGTTGAACAACAGCTAACTTTAGAACGTATAGGTGTCCCAGCATTTCTTCGAACAACAAATGCTCAGATAATACGTATTCAAATGAGAATATTAGATTGGATTGTACGTTTAAGTCGTCGATCATTACCACAATCTTCAAGTTTATCGAATCCTGAAACTATATCATCTACATGGCCTCCATGAATCTCATAATGTACATAAAACGTTTTCATTGTATCTCATTTTCGTTAGAATGTATTTGAAAGCATGGTTTTATTTTCAATTCAACATGTTTTACAAGTTTATTATTATTAGTTGTTATTTATCATTATGAACTTGATTTTATATCTGATTAAAGCCATAAAACAGTTTACATTATATAAAATTTATAGGTTGTAAATGTTTAAACTTTAGCTCTTTAGGTTTTTGATAAGATTATTTGTGTTTTATTTCATCAAATGAATAAACAAAATCAAACAATGTATACCTTTGATTGAATATTACGAGTAGATATGTAATTGGACAATGGAATTATGTAATAACTTTTGCACTCATCAGACTATTCTTCCAAGTTATAAAGAAAATCAATATTTATAATCTCTCTTCATCTAATTTTAATTTCGAGGTTCAAATTGATTCTTTTGTATACTTATATGTGCACTTCTTTACGTATGAATATCACTTTGGAATAAAATAGGTTCAAGGAAAAAATACTTTTAAATGTCATCGGTGCTATTTTTTTGTCTAAGTAGACCCTAAGGGGTGGATTTTAATTTTTAGCAAGTATGATTTGACTTGATTCTATTCATGGTTAATGGGTTCTATATATCTTTATTGTAAATAACTAGGTGGAAAATGAATTAGATTGAACAACAAATGTCTCTTCATTTAAAAATAATTCAGCCAGAAGTAATAGATCTGGACAATATTTTTATGGCTCCGTTTAATTTCCTGTCAAGTTGACCGGATTGAAACGTTAACAGTTATAAGTCTAGTTAAGTTTCTGCATGTTGTACACTAGATTTCTCCAAAACTGGTATCAGTTATTTATCTTTAACGTAATGATTATACGAAATATCCACAGTCTGACAACTGATTATACCAGTAGGTTACCGGACAGAAACGTCACTGTCTAAAAATTTCTTGTCCATCTATACCGCTTAGAAGATCTATATTTAATTATATGTATAGGTTGTGACCAAATAGTCTATTTCCGGTCTTTAACCATAGAGGTAATTTGGAAGTATAATTGACAACAGTTGTCTAAATATCAATGGTAGGAACAAGTGTTGTTCATACCCATGCTGGTCACTTGATGGACCGCGCGCTCCAATGGAGAAATGTCGAATCTCTGGACTCGACGTAAACCACATCCGGAGCTGTAAATTTAGAGCTGTCGGCGCCAAGGGGCGTTATGTTAAAACTACTGAACGGTACCGATGTATCAACTCCATGACTCGACCGTTCAGGAAATGTTACACTTTCTACATCTTTATTTCAAATGAGCAATGATGTGATTGCTTTCAGACAACTAATAATCGATGTAAATAGATGGAATACCAGAGTACATAATGGTATTCTCAAATATGGTGATTAATTACCAGCGACACCAATAAACACAATGATAATTGATGGAATTTTAGCTACGCAGTTCAGTGGAAAACACTTTGAATGTTTTTCAAATCTTCATTTGTATTTAATCTAGTAAAATTATTAGGGCCTGTGTACACTAGATAAGAATATCATGTTCTGTGTCTTTTCATGTGACTTTGATTTTGCAACAACTCATCTCTTAGGGAGAATAAATAACTTAGAGCCTGGAGACTACTATCAATCAACAAGATTGATTGTCAGTATATTTTCTAGATGTTTTTCTTTAGCTAGTTTATTAGTCTGTAAGTGAATTTTGGGGTCCCCGTTCTCCAGCATCTAAGTTGAAAGAATCGCCGCATTTGAGATGAATAGGAGCAATAGTTCAAGGCTTTTCAAGAAACTCAGAAGCAAAGATCAGAGTTATGGCGTGATGTGCAGTTAGTTAACCTCGGTTGGAGCTGTGGTTATTTTTTATTTTGGGATAATACAAATGAAACTGGGGTTAGGTTCACTGAGAGTCGCCAATTTTCAGTTTTTTGACAACCTTAGTTTCTAGGGCTACCAATGTCATAAATCTCTCAAAGCATTCGGGAAGACGATTCGCGGTAAATAGAATTTAACTAAAAAGAGCAATTAGGTAAACCGCTTCCAAAGCCAATTCCCTATTATCAAATTCTGGGGGTGGAGAATGTCACATTTTCGAGAATCCTCAGTATCTACAAGTCGATATTGCCCATTTTTACAGCTTACAATTTCCCTGATAGGGTTATGCAACTCTTCTGTACGGTTATCAAAGCCTATTTATGATATTTCAACAGTGAAATCATAACTAGCATTCTGAAGGGTGTTGGTAGCAGTGTAGCGATAAATAAATCCCCAAAATAAATAGCCCCGTAAGTTTTTGACATTGGATGCTGACCATATGTTTTAGTGGACTCACCTAGCTGAAGGCGTTCGGTCAGGCATCCGCACCAGATCACGTGTGGTAACGCCGTGCTCAACATCAACCGCAATCGCTAGCCAGATTAGATCTGAGAATTCCGATATATTGGTAATCGCCAAATACACTCTTCCGATATCCTCGACTCTGTCTTTTGATTTCTCTTGGTGGGTACGCCATATATTAGAAGATGTTGCTGGTAAAAGCGTTGTCAAACACTGAATACATGTGCCATCTCACTATAACTAGTTAGATAAGACTTTAAACACTTTAACTCGTCGACCACTATTCGAATGTATCTTCGCATAACTTCGTTTTCGATTTCCGGTTTGATTGACTCTGTGATCCTTGTATATATAGTTTCCAACATTAGTGTCCGCAAATCCTGAGTATCCCTGATATTCTCAGTAGAATAAGCAAAATGTCTGTGGAAGTTATGTGAATGTTCTACCCAGCACTATTTAAGTAAGATACAGTTTGCCCCTGATGAAATAAGAAAATTCACTCAATCAAACCAGAAATATTCACAAACATCTTAGTGGTACGTAAGTTTTGTGAAGAAACCATTTGAATTTTTTCAGAAACGCGTTTGTGCGCAAGTTTCAACAATATTTGCATCATACTTGCCATATTTAAACAGGTTCCGTAGAATATGGAAGGATATTGATCTGAAGTTACGTAAATGAACAAGGGAAAAGATGACGGAAGGAAACATGAAATGTGTAAATAATTTGGTAAGTTCGTTAGTGAAAACAGGATAAGAATAAAGGGAAAATTTTTAAAACCGAATGAATCAAAAATAAATCAGAAAATAAATTGGTAATGCAGTAAAATTTGACGGTACATTTGTAGTGGCATTGGACCATAACTACACAATCCTCAAAGCTGAATACGAAATTACTCGGAAAATAGATATTCAATATTTAACGCAGAGAAATACCTAACGATGGAGAAGGCGCGAATAAGGAATTGAATGAGTTGGAGTTGATCGAATGGCTCGGCAATGCAGGCGTGGCCCCTGTTATCTTATATCTTTTACCCATATTAAATATATTGTCCTATCTCTAGCCTAAGCTTGTTCTCCATCATGTATTGGTAATTGTTGTGATGCAATGAGTTGGTGTAGACGATGATGTGACTTCCACGTAAGATCTTATAGATCAGGCAGTTATATCATGACAAGTCTATAATTTTAGGATTAGGTCTATTATTAGAGAAGTACTAATATCATAGCAGACCATAATTCTACACATTAAGAGTTTGTTCAGTAGTACTTTAGAAAAATTCTACAAAAAATAATCATCAAATATTAATCTGTATGAGTCCAAATCGTGTGATGAAGATAAAATGAATTGGAAAATTTGATTCATTTAAGTGTAACACCAAATAATGTGTATTCATTCATGAAATTTAGATGCTTAGTAGTGAAATTTGTATAGCAGTAAAAGAGAGGGGAAGAAAAGCGAACAAAAGGAATAACTAGCGTTCTAAGAGATCAACCATGATAATAATAATAAATATGAACATAGTTTCAGTACAACGGAGGTTTACTGGGAATCTGTTTCACATGAATGAATAGCGAATAACGAAGAAATTGAAGAGTAAGTTTGTGTAGCTTGCCGAAATCGATAGAATATTTTCTTTAATGCGCAGGTTTTAGGATGTTATAATAGGGTACGAAGGGATGGACGTCGTAAATTGAGAAATACATAAAGATGCCACAAGCATTTAGAGTTTGGCGACACCTTAACAAATAACACCTCTTATAATCGAGACGTGACAACTCAGTGAAATCAGAATCACATGCGAAGAGGCTGGAAAATATATTTGGTAGGATATCGAAATGGCAAGAAGTGACTGATCTAAGTTGGCTAGTGGTTGTACGAGAAGTTGAGCACAGAGTACCCCAAAACGGCTCTAATGTATTATATTTGAACATTAATTTCATCAAGTCATTATGTCTACAATTACTGTACACTAGAACATTATATTTAATAATGGACATGATACATATTTATGCATTAATGATATCGATTCAAAATTATTGAAATTTATCATTACGAATCCAATGAGCTTTTTTACTTTGGATACTTGTGATGCAATGTGCTCGGAAAAGTTCAAACCGTTGCTAAACCTCAAACCCATGTCATGAACAGTAATGAGGGGTTTCAGTATATTTTTGTGAATAACCAGATTTAGATCAATTATGCTACTAATGTGAATAAATTCACTCTTTTGAGCACTAATTAATGGATTCCACGACACAGTTCATTCGTATAACTTGCTTTCGTCTTCTTAGATTACCCCTGGAATATTTTTTGGAAAGGGACGAGAACGAATGAATCACTCTTAGATCATCGGCATAAAATTGAGATTTCCCGTGTTGGAAGAGTGAGCACACGTCAATGATGAAAAGGAAAAAACAGTGATGGACCAATCACACTTCCTAGTATAGCTCTACTGGTCATACTCACAGATCTGTAGTGGCATTGAACCATAATCACACAATCCTCAAAGCCGAACACGAGATCACCAGGAAAATAGATATTCAATATTTAACGCGGAGAAATACCTAGGGATGGAGAAGTCGGACAATTCAGGAAGATCTAACTCGGCTTCAAAGTTGGGCGGACAACAACGGAATTACTTTCAACACTTCGAAGTGTAAAGT